ATGGAAAACTTAGGAGGTACATTGCAGAGCTTCAAAGGGTTGATAGAAATGGCACATTTCAGCTGAAATTGGAGAGTGGCAGTGTATTCAAATGTTTTTATGTAGGTTTTAATGCACTAAGACAAGGTTTCTTGCAAGGCTGTAGGCCAATTATTGGCCTTGATGGGGCTTTCTTGAAGACCTTTTTAGGAGGTGTATTATTGTGTGCTGTTGGGAAGGATGGGAACAATTAGATATTTCCTTTGGCATGGGCAGTTGTGGATTCTGAGAATGAGAGCAATTGGAAATGGTTTCTAGACATACTTTTTCAAGATTTGGGGATATCAGATGGACTTGGATGGACATTTATCAGTGATCAGCAAAAGGTTACTTCTTTCAATATGTGCACTAATATATTTGGTTGTTTGGCTTATCTTTAATATATGTTCTGACTTATCTCATTATGTAGGGACTCATTGCTGCTATAAGGGACCTCTCACCACATGCAGAACATAGAAATTGTGCACGACATGTGTACATGAATTGGAAGAAATCACACAAAGGCAGTGCACTGAAGAGCTGTTTCTGGAGGGTAGTGCATAGCACACACAAGGCAGAATATAAGGAAGCACTTGAAGGGATGAAGGCAGTGGCTAAGGAGGCTTATGATGATTTCATGGGCATGGAAAATTTCAGGTTCTGTAAAGCCTTTATCCTTGAGAATCCAAAATGTGATATGATACTTAATAATGTATGTGAAACTTTCAACAGTACCATAGTGAAGGCAAGAAAAAAACCAATTGTTGAGATGCTTGAGAGTATTAGAACTTATGTAATGGAAAGGCATCATCATAAACTAATGTTGACTAGTGGACTGAATGACACAATATGTCCTAGGATAAGGAAAAAAATTGAGGAAAATAAGTTGAGAAGTAGGTTTTGTGTGACAAAACCTGCAGTGGGTGAAAAATTTCAAGTTTCCATATCAGATGATCAGTTTGTGGTTGATTTGAAGTGCATGACATGTAGTTGTAGAAGCTGGGATATATCTAGTATACCATGTATCCATGCTTGTTCTGCAATTCAGTACATGAAGAGGGATGTAGTGGACTTTGTCAGCCCATACTTCAGTGTAGAAAGAAATTTGAAAGCATACTCTTTTAGTCTTGAACCATTAAATGGGCCTAAAATGTGGCCTGAAGCATCTGGGTCCACTGTGAAGCCACCTCCATTTAAAAAGATGCCTGGTAGACCTAAAATAAAAAGGAGAAAAGCTCCTGAAGAAGAGGCCAAAAGTGACACTAAGCTGAGGAGATTTGGACTACAAATGACTTGCCAAAAATGCAAGAAAATTGGGCATAACATCAGGACTTGCCCCAATGAAGCTGCTCCTGCACAGACAAGAGTAAGTTTAATTGTTTTTGCTTATTTATAAACTTTTATAATGCATCTGTTCATATCCTTGTTGATAAATTGTATAAAAAGAGAGGGAGACCAAGTACAAGGGAGCAACATGTGGAGTCTTCTGCAAAAGATTGGACTGTCACACCAACACCAGCAGTCTCAACACCAACAATCCCAACACCAACAATCCCAACACCAACAAACTCAACATCAACCAACCCACCACCAGTCCCAACACCAGCCCCAATAGAAGCCCTAAGAGCACCAACAAAAGCACCACAAACACAAGCCCCAACAGCACCACCAACACAAGCCCCATCCACAAAAGCAACCACAAGCACAAGAGCAACCAAGGTCACAAGAGCAGCTTCAGCCACAAGAACAGCCCCAACTACTAGATCAGCCACAGCTGCTATGCAACAAACAAGAAGGAGTTCTAGAATCAGGAGTGTTGGACAATCTTCTCAACCTGTGCAAGCTATTAGGGCAAAAGACAGAGCAACGGTAAAAGCTATTATTTTCTTACATAAAGCATAATATCAGCTTATTAACTTATTTGTGTCTTTGCTTGTTTAGGCCAATAAAGGATTTGGTGTGATGGTCTCTGAGCAGACAGGAGACATTTATATAAGGGTATGCTTCATTATTACCATATACTTTTTCTGTACCAATTGCAGTGCATATTTCAGATATTAACTTAATTTGTTTTGTCCCACAAATTCTTAATCAGATGCCAGGGCAAAATAGAGCTCACTTTGTACCTAACAGAAGAGCAGGATCATTACCTGGACAAAAGAAACAAACATCCAAGAATTGCCCAAGAGATCAGGGGACACAAGAGAGTGTGTGTAATTTTAAACCTTGTTAGTTGTCATGGGGATGTATGTTGTGAACTACTGTTGTTTGGGTTTTGGGGGATGTATGTTGTGAACTACTGTGTTTTTTCATGTTTTCTGGTTTGATGTGAAATTGGAGCTGCAGTTGTTAGCAATGTATTATCTAAATTTGGATTTGGATTTGGATT